ATTCATCCTATCTACGGGGCAGAGGAATGCGAATAACTGGCACGGTTCAGTGTTGAAAGGCAACCTGTAATGGAATCGACTGCTGTAGTAGTAGAACTGACTGATTCCTTAATCATACACGGAAGATACAACAATGATGAATACACCCCATCAACAAATAAGTGGACAAAACCAGACGGATTCATCTACTACCCTGGACACTCGCCTTCCCTTTTCCTGAATTTTTTAAACGAGTATAAGTCTGTGGGAAGAAAAAAGAATTCTATCTATTCTGCTTGCCACAAAGCTGCTGTTGACTGTGCTTTTAAAATAAATGTTTGCCTGTCACGTCATCGCAGATATAACGGTCAAAGACCGGGTATACATAGATCAATAATGCTTGATGCTTTTCGCTTCCAAGAATGATTCAGGCAATGTCGCTTGCTGCGGTCTTTAAAAGAAAGCACTATAGCTGATGTAATGAAACTTCAGACCAGTCCCCACCATCAGTTCATGAAAACAAAGGCGCCAGAAATGCTCCCATCATGAAACTATAAGGCAGACATTCCAACGGCTAAAATTTTCCTTCCATTGTTTTCCTTTAGTACTGGTCAATTAAGCGCATCTACAGCTCATACATCCATCAGACACATGGTCCACATCCTACAATACGAAGGCAACGTTGGATAAAACGATATGGTCATTTGTTACTGGGGATTATCACGGAGGCGGCCATTAATCAATCTGTTGCTTGTTTTCAGCATAAATATGTTTAATCACATTTGACTTAAAAACATCAAAAAAGTTTCATACGTTGATTTACATCCCAATGATCAGAGCTATCTAAATATCACAGAGTTGGCCGCTAAGACTCCAGTGAAGTGCAGATTCTTCGGCCTTAGCGAAAACTACTTCGAACAGCTTACTTCGAAAGAATTTCAATGTATCGAAGAAAGTTTACCACATGGCCTGAACGGAGATCGGCTTGAACAGATGGTAAGAGTCAGACGACTCAAAGGAGATGCCACCATCTCCGTCCAGCTTCACGGCGGTATTCGCCCAAATCGGTAGAATGAGCGCGATCGCCGGCTGATTAGGCGTTATGTAGTCGATGCCGAGCAACGAAGACTCGCGGTTGTCGTGTCGAGTGGATGTAGAAATTATGACCAAGTAGCGAGTGTAGTTGCTGAACATATTCTGCAATCGGACCGCCTGAAAATAACACTCACTGCAACCCACTGCGAATCTGTGACGATTTACGCCTCTAACCATTCGAAGCGTATCCCGCGGTCTCAGCAACTGCAACATACTCTGCAAATGTTGCTTGATTTCTCCTTAACAAGTGATTTTAAATGTTTTTAAAAATAAAAACGCTCAAGTTCGAGAAAAAAATCATCGCTTACCTCCGTTACATGTTTCTCTCTTCAGCTGGAACTCGTTTTTTGGCAGTATCACAGCGGCACCTCGTACGGCAAAGTAGTATTCGCTCGAGCTGCTAAATGGAAGGCTTCTTTGAAAAAGGCGAACAAGAGAGAGGAGCACACGAATGGCTATGCGATAAATTGAGTAATTCCAAACATATCCCGATCGTGAGACTACTGGAGGTGGTGCACTCACCAGCTTCAGCAGGATAAGACGGTGTCACTAGCTAAAGATCAGACATCATAAATCTGCTACTCTGTCATTTAAGCTCTGCCAGCATTTGATGACGATGATACAACAAAAACTTGTTATTCGCCTATGGTATCCGTGTGATCGAATCATCACTAGGTGCTTCATTTCTATAAAGCATTTTGGTCAGTTGGAGGACGAAGTGATATCGACTGTAATTCATGAAAGTCGGCACTTATAACGTATACTGCTGAACAACCGCTCCTCTCGAAAACTCTCCAAAAAACAAAGATTGGATGAGCTGCATTTACGTCATGCCCAAAAAATTGTCAAGGGTTTCAACCTACGACAACGACCTTCCTGAAAGCAAATCGAAAACTGAGGTGCTGTATGCATGCAAGTTCATCAATGCTCATTGGTTCAGTAAGCAGCGTTGAGAAAAAACAAAATAGCAGAACTTTAAACTATTTAGTTACTAAGTAGTTCAACCATAATGCTTGACTGACTAATTGACTTATCGGATGTCGCAACG